ATCATGGCTTAGGGCGTGAATGATGGGAATAAGCCATGCTCAGGTCCGTGGTGACCCGCGAGTGTACGCGTACGTGCCAGGTCTGTGGCGACCGGGCGTGCGCAGGTGTGTGCGTGAGTGCATGTTCGTTAGAGATAGTCACGGGATAGGGGTAGACGCTAGCGATCCATGCGGGTTCTAGCCGCGCCCAGCGCGTAGGAGCGCGTCGTGAGCGCAGGCGGCGCATGCGGATCATGGGGCGTGTACGTGCGCATCGTGGGTGTGTGAGCAGCGCGTGTATAAGGTCTCCCTCGGCCTGTGTAACTTGGAGTGGTGCCTGGGAACGAGTTCATGCTCGTGGTAGTGGCGTTCGAGCGCCGGAAACCTCCTGTGTCCACCTGTGTCTTCTTCTTCCCTTCTTCTACCTCGGTCCGCTGCAGAACAAGAGAGCTGCGGAGAGGTAGGCGAGAGCTAGGGCTAGACGGCAACAACACCCCGGCCTTCAGCAGCTCGTCCGCGTCATCTGTGCGTGTCCTCTCCAGCCTCAATGATTAGGCTTTCGCTTCTTGCTGATGTTCTCATCTGGTTGCGCCTGGTTATGCCCAGTTATGCACTCTTTCGCCTATGTTTGTTCGTCCGCCTTGTTAGTTGGTTGGTCAGTGTTGGTACGGGCTGTGTGTTTGCCCTTGTATCTGGATTCGGCTACTCCGGTCCTAGTCTGTTTCGTGTCCACCCACGGGTGCCTCTACCTAGTTCCTCGTGTTCTTAGCACCTGCCTGTTCCATGATCTGGGTTGTATGTTCTCTGTTTTACCATGAAGATTTTAAACTGGAATGTGCGCGGCCTTGGTGATGACGATAAGTGCTCCCTTGTTCGAGATGCTATAACCTCTTGCTGCCCCAACATTGTTTGTTTGCAGGAAACCAAACTGCCTCACCTCACGACGATCAAGCTCCGATCCCTCCTGCCTGCCTCTTTCCAGGGCCAGGCCGTCACCCCCTCTGTGGGTGCCGCAGGTGGCATTCTTGTTGCCTGGGACACTTCCCTTGTTCAAGGCCAGATCATCGACACACACAGATACCACGTCACTCTGAAGATGCACTCAACCTCTTCTGACACTGCCTTCCAGATCACTGCTGTGTATGCACCTTGCTTGCAAGAGGAACGGGCTGCTTTCTTCGATGCCCTCAATATGGTTGCAGCTGACGAAGACACACCATGGGTCGTCTTGGGCAACTTCAACATGTACCGTTTTGCACATGAGAAGTATTGCGGCCGTTTCAACTGCGGCCTCATGGACATGTTTAACACTTGGATCAGAGAGATGGGTTTGGATGACATTCAGATAGACAATCGACTTTTTACATGGTCAAACAAAAGGGCCCGTCCCACTCTCGTCAGGTTGGATCGAGTGCTGGTCAATGCGGCGTGGAATCTGAGTTTTTTGCAGTCCCAGGCCGCCTGTGTACCTGCAGTTACCTCCGACCACACCCCAATTCTGCTGCAGTTCAACGCCGACGTGCCCAAGAGCAAGTTCTTCAGGTTCGAGAACCACTGGCTCGAGATGCCAGAGGCCAGGGAAATCATTCAGGACTGCTGGACCCGTGGTACAAGAGTGTTCAAGTCCTCGGCCTCGCTCATCAGCTTCAAGATGAGGAGAACCAGAGCTGCTCTACGACAATGGTGTCGGCGCAAATCCAGCCTCAAAACTCTGCTAGTTAACAACAAACATGTCATCAGTTTCCTGCAGACTGTCGAGGAAAAGCGGCACCTGTCTCTGATGGAAGTGGTTCTTCGTGAAGCTGCTACTGCCAAGGCCGAGCAACTCATCCTTTGGCAAGCAGCCATGTGGCGTCGCCGGGCCAAGCTTAGGTGGTGTGTCGATGGTGACGAGAACAGCCGCTTCTTCCATGCGGCTGCCAACGCACAACATCGACGCAATCAGATCAGGGCCCTTGCCCATGACGGTGTGCTGCATTATCACAACAGCCGGCAACTTGCCATTGCAACTCGCTACTTCATGGATGTTTTGGGTCAGCCCAGCCCCTCTCTGCCAACGCTTCAGCTCAACGTTCTGTACACTGGTGAGGACATGGTTGACCTTTCGGAGCTTGCCAATACATTCTCATGGGCTGAAGTGGTGCGCGCCATTAGCCAGTCGCCAAACAACAGAAGCCCAGGGCCCGAAGGTTTCACGAACGAGTTCTATAAAGCTTTCATGTCTCTTCTGAAGGACGACATGCTCGCTCTACTCACGGCTTTCCACAATAATCGTCTGCCTTTGGGGGGTATCAACACAGCCTACATCACTTTGCTTCCCAAGAAAGACACCCCGCTGGAGATGTCTGACTTCAGACCTATCTCGTTGGTGCACAGCACGCCTAAGCTGACGTCCAAGATCCTGACAAACAGGCTGCAGAGAAGAATCCCGGAGTTAGTCCACCTTCTGCAGTCAGGGTTCTTGCAAGGCAGATCTATCACTAAGAATTTTGTGTTGACCGCGGAGATGGTGCAAACTACACATAAAAGGAGGATGCCTGTTATAGCACTGAAATTGGATTTCCGGAAAGCCTTCGATTCGGTTAGTTGGACTGTCTCTTTCAAGTGATGGAGGCTCAAGGTTTCCCCTCTAAGTGGTCCCAGTGGATCAACTCCCTCCTCTCCTCGGGCAATTCTCGTGTGCTGATCAACGGAGAGCTGGGTGATCCCATTGTGGCCAAACGAGGTTTTCGCCAAGGAGACTCTTTGTCACCCTACTTATTCTTGCTTGTGGCTGACGTCCTCCAGAGACTCTGTCTGCACCACTTCAGAAATGGCAACCTTATGCACCCGCTGGGGCCTGACGTCCTCGACTGTTTTCCGGTCTTAAAGTACGCAGACGACACACTGATCATCTTCCGTGGAGATGTGCAGCCGGCGGGCATGATCAAGAATATTCTGTCCGCTTTCTCTGATTTCTTCGGCCTACAAATTAATTTCCAGAAGAGTACGCTCGTACCGATCTGTGTGGATGAAGGTACAACCGTTGAGATCGCCTCTCTGTTAGGGTGCCCGGTGTCCTCTTTCCCATGCAACTACCTCGGGCTGCCTCTGTCCGTTCATAAAATTAAGCATGGAATGCTGCTGCCGGTCATTCACAGAGTTGATCGTAGGCTTTCTGGTTGGCTGGCCTCCTTTCTATCCTGGGGTGGTAGGCTCACTCTTATCAACTCAGTTTTAGCTGGCATCCCTACATACTTCATGCAATGTTTCCCTTGGCCCAAGGAATCACTGGATAAACTAGAGGGCCTGCTTCGTGCCTTCTTCTGGCAGGGCAAGAACAAGGTGAAAGGAGGGCAGTGCAATGTGGCTTGGAGTAAAGTTGTGGTGCCTCGGATCAAAGGTGGGTTGGGGATTATAAATCTGGAGGCACCCAACAAGGCTATGATATGTAAGTTCGTGGCCAGAATTCTTCAGTCATCCGACATCCCATGCTACCGTTGGTTCGCTTCCCAGTACTGCAGTGCTTCTCTACCTCATGATACCAGAGCGCGGGACACTGCCGTTTGGAAAGGTTTCAAGGCCTGCATCCCTCTAGTCATCTCTTCTTCGAGATGCGTTGTCGGAAGTGGCGCCCTTGTTTCTTTCTGGCACGATCAGTGGCTTCCTGAAGGCAGGCTGCGACTGCTTCTCCCGGTGCTGTTCTCCTTTGCTCGCAACCCTTTCTGCTCCGTGCAGTCGCAGTATGAAGAGGAGGGCCGGCGCTTGTCTCTGCATCCAAACCTGACACACACTGCAGCCCTACAGCTTACGCGGCTCATGCAGTTGATTGCGCATGTCACCCCCGACAACTCCAGGCCTGATTCCCGCGCACCGCTCTTCCTTGGAAAACAGCTCAGCACAGGCCATTTTTACAGTCTGCTTAACTTCAGAGGTGTGCGTTGGGAGTATGCTTGCTGGGTCTGGGATCCAATCATACCACTCAAATACAGGATCTTCCTCTGGTTGCTTCTTTGGGGCCGTCTCAACACCAGGGATTTCATGACAAAGAAAGGCTGGACTGCAGTGTCTCCCTCCGCATGCTGTGACCTCTGCCCAGCCTTGGAAACTGTCCATCATCTCGTGCTAAGATGCCGGTATGTCAATGCAATATGGGATAAATTGCTGCTGGCCACCCTAGCTTGCTCCTTCCCAGATATCCAGTCTTTCGTCACTGCGGCTGCCAGCCAGTTACAGTTCAACAGTAAATGGAATGTTGCCTTTGCCGCATCTGCTGTCGCTCTGTGGCATGCCAGGAATGATCGGACCTTTAACGACAACAGATGGAGCGTGACCCACATTCGATCCTATGCTGCTAACTTGCTACGTTTATGGGCCAGCAGAGCTTCAAAACAGTGTGACAAAGAGGATCTGCACACTTGGGCTGTGATGCTTGGGTCGTAATTTTTTTTAGGGTAGAGCAAAGCTGTCGCATGCAAGCTTGCATGCATCTATCCTCCTCCCCCTCTCATGTATCCACCCCACCCCCCTTCTAGGCTGCTTGTGGCCATGCACCATGGTGCATTTAGCAAGACTTTGTTCACAACTCCAGGCTTCAGCCTGCTTTGAAATATAAAGATGGCCTTGAGCCATCTTTCTCTTTCAAAAAAAAAAGTGCCATTAAGGTAATCCGACCACCTGAGCTCCAAAACTTCAGAAAAGTGAACAATCCACAGCAAAAATAATGGCCAGTTCGATTACACACAACCTAACTAAAAAATGGTTCGAGTCTTCACGAGATTCATGTAATATGCATCCTAAAATCTTTCTAGGTCCAGTTTGAAACTAAATGCAATATAGATATCTAGTTCCTTTTGTCAATCCTAAACTGAACTTGATAACCATGGCACTATTCATAACTGTGGTTAAAAATTATAACTAAATCAAACATAGGATGAAGACAGCACTGCATCCAGCCAGTCTGCAACTGCAAACCAGTATCAAGGATGTATATTTGCTTCTCTCAACAAGAGCACATCATCAAGAGCCAGAATTGCATTTACCTCTGAAGCAACTCTTTGGTGTCTGACCCCCCAAACTTCTGAAGCCTGCTTCCTACACTCTTCTCAAAAGCGCTCCGAACTGAACCAATGCTCAGCCTCCCATAAACTATCTGAAGCCTGACCGTCATACGAATGTCACGCTCTAGTGCATCGTTGATCAGCTCATCATTTTCCTTCAGATCAGAGATGGGAAGCTTCTGGTACTTGTCCCTCAGCTGCTTCAGATCGCTGTCATCCGCATAAACGCCTGCACAGAGCAACATTTCACAATCTCTTCTCGGCGTTGCAGTTTACAGCATTTTACGATCTGTGTCGATGTTGCAGTTTCCTTTTCTACATTAGATATGCGATGCGACTAGAGGTGTCAATGTAAAAAAAGGAAGGAAATTTGATTAGTAGGTTACCGAACGCGTAGACGTCGATGGACTTGAGGCCGAGGATGGTGGTCTTGCGGAGGCCAACGCCGAGGAGGCGGCGCCCGCCGGCGGTCTCGGCGGGGAATGCGGCGCCGGTGCGGGGCTCGACGTTGCCGGGGGCGCCGCTGTCGGCAAGGGAGAGGGAGGCCCAGAGGGATGCAGAGTGTGACGGGCGCGGGAGCGGCCGACCGGCAGATTTGGCGGTCAGGGCGAAGCCGGCTGCGGCTGCCGCAGCCGCGGCGGCGGCAATTGCGGCGGCGATGGCGGCACGGTGGGGAGGCGGCGGGGTGGGGAGGTGGGCGAAGGTGGCGGCGGGGAAGCGGAGGGACACCATGGCTGAGGCGGAGCGGAGGCCGGAGGCGCGTGCAGTGTGCTGTGCGGTGTACTGTGGTGTCTGGTGTGGTGTGGCCGCGTGGGGGACGGAGCACGCGATGTGGACGGGCGGCAGTTGGCGCGTGGCGACGGCAGCAGCGGGGTGGCACCCGGAAACACAGCCAGAAAGTCTTGCAATTTTCGAATTAATTTTGGACGAAACACGAACATGTAGATTTTGGACAAAAAGCAGTTGGGTTCGTGTTGTGAAAAGAAAGAGTTGTGGAGGGTGTAGCCGCTAATAAGACCAAGACTTGTACTTCCTCTGTATTTTTAGATCACGGTAATCTAAAAACTTTTGTATTAATTTATAGAGGGAGTAACTTGTAAGTGTTTTGTTTTCAATCGACCACAGGACCACCAATAACAACGGAAGATGACAGCTATGTCGGTTTCCGATCTCACTAAGGGGTTGTGTGAACAGATGGCAGCTACGATATGCCGATTTTTTGGGCAAAACAAGATAATGATCAGAAGATACATTGTTTGTCCGCTGAGAAGTTGACTCTTTCCAAAAAAGAAGGTGGTTTGGGATACAAGGATCTCCATGTGTTTAATTTGGCCATGCTCACTAAACAAGCGTGGAGATTGTTAGAACACCCTGATTCACTTTGTGCTCGAGTTCTCAAAGCGAAGTATTTCCGTGAAACCGACATACTGCATGCTACACCCAAAAGGGAATGTTGTATGTGTGGCATAGTATCTTACAGGGAATTGAAGTGGTTAAGAAGGGAGTCATCAAGCGTGTCGGTGACGGCTCGACAGTGAAGATCTGGGAGGACTCGTGGCTTCCTAGAGACTGGGACGTGAGACCGATGACACATCGCCGGAACGCTGTCGTCTCAACTGCTGCTGAGCTGATGGACGCATTCTCTGTGGCATGGGACTAACAGCTAGTGCGGTCAATATTCTGGGCACCAGATGCGGACTTGATCCTAGCTTTGCCCATTAAAGAAGATATGGAAGATGCCTGGGCACGGCATCTTGACCATCGTGGTTGTTTCTTTGTGAAGTCGGCGTACAAGTTATGCAGACAATTTCAGATGGTGGACTCGGGTGAGGTTGGTCAAGCAAATGGGGACAACAACAACAACAGTTTCAGATGGAGTTCCATATGGCACGCGCCGTGCCCAAATAAAGTGCAACAATTCCTATGGCGTATGGCACACAACAGCCTTCCCCTATGTGCCAATCTGAAGAGGAAAGGAGTAGACATTGACACACTTTGTCCAGTCTGCAAAAGAAGAGATGAAGATGGTAGCCATCTGTTGTTTCAGTGTAAACAGGTCAAGCAATTGTGGAGGGAATTAGGACTAGACGAGGTACGTACTAAGTGCATGGCAATGCATGATCCAAAAGAAGTAATACATGAGCTGTTGGGGGGTGATCTGCAACGGAAAACAATCATCATTGCACTAGCATGGACGTGGTGGAATGCAAGAAAAAAACTGTGGATGGAGGGAAAGAAAATAGACATCACTGGACTACTTTGGCAGATTAGGATTGAAGCTACTGAATATATGACTTACTTCAGTCATGAGAAGAAACCAGTTGAGCGGGAATCTGAAGTTTGGACCAAGCCGACTGACGGTGTGCTAAAGATTAATACTGATGGCAGCTTTTGTGCGGCGTCATCATTAGGAGGGTGGGGCTATGTCATTCAAGATCATGACAGTGATGTTGTGGTAGCGGCTGCAGGAAGGATATCGCATGCACATGATGCCTTGCAAACTGAAGCTGAAGCATGCATATTTACTCTATACAAGGCGCATGAGTTAGGCATCACCAGGGTTGTGGTGGAGACGGATGCAACGTTGCTGGTCCATGCAATCAAGTTGTCGAACTTTGATCGTTCTTCTATTGGGGTATTGTTCAGGGAGATAAAGACTTTTGCTAGTTTGAACTTCAGTTTTTTCATATTGTTCATTGTCCGAGGGCTTGTAATAAGGTTGCAGACGCTCTTGCGCTGTATGGGTCGAAGATGGAGCTTGTACCCCAAGCCGTATGGCCGGTTCTTGCCCCTACCTTTGTCCGGTCTTTTATTGCTAGCGACGTCGCTAGACATGTTGATTAATGGAATGAAATGTTCCAAGCTCAAAAAAACAACGGAAGACAAAACAAAGTAGCATCATCCATGTTGCCAAAAGAAAAGTGAAGTCCTTTTTTGAAAAATATTCAAATATTATAAAAGTTCGTCACAAGTACAAAGCACTACAAACATAATAAAAATTAAATCGAGGTCTATGGACCACCAAACGAACAATACTGCTGCCTGAACGAGCCATCGACGCGTCGATGTCTCCGCTTCCCTATCGGACCGGCTTGACCTTGTCGATGACAACAAGAAAGTCTTCGTGCATGTTGTAAGGGCATATTTATCCCTAAGTAGTTTTGGTGATTGATGATAATGCATTTGCAGATTAATCGTATGCATTAAGCATTTCAAATATCTCATGATTTAGGCACAAGACGATTCGTTGCCCCTCGGAGTCTAATGAAGACGGAGTTTTCCCTATGTTCCTTTTCGGTGGATTTGAGTCGTAGGAAAGCCGTACTATTAAGAGGGGGTCCGCGTTGGAAAGGTTTGGGTGGAATCATCACATACACGTCTATTCCTTTTGCACCCCCTTTTCTTTGCACCTTTGGAGCAACCATTGTTTTTCCGTGTCTCTGCAAAATGAAGGACTCCTAGTGTTTGTTGTGCTGTGGCATGCAGTAGTACTGCTCATGGGAGCAGTAGTACCACAGAGGCCCATGATAGTACCGGCCGGGGTCGCGGTAGTACCGCAGGCCCATGCGGTAGTACCGCTCCCCGGACGCGGTAGTATCGTGGCCTCGGGCCGGGCACAGCAGCACGAGCGGAAGTAGGGGCAGATGCAATTTTTTACATCCGCGTCCTACACGGTAGTACCGCTCCCTTTATGCGGTAGTACCGTGTCAGAGTTTAGCACAGATTGTTACTTAGCGGAAGTAGCCACAAATGTATTTTTATTCGTCCGTGCTTTCCCAGCCCAGACAAACCCTGCCTTGCGGTAGTACCACAAGGGGGAGCGGTAGTACCACTCCGGCGGTTCTACCGCTCTTTGCTTCAACGCATCAGGGATGGTCTAGCTCCTGCCGCGCATGTGGTAATACCGTAATGCCCCGCAGTAGTACCGCAGGCCCTTGCGGTAGTACCGCATGTCTGGTGCGGTAGTACCGTCGCGGGCTGAGTAAGTAGAAAACAGTTGGATTTGTCCTATCACTATAAAAGGGGAGTCTTCTTCTCCGAGTTGACTACCTCTTCCATCCCTAAGCTCCATTTCTGCTCTAAGCTTCATTTTCGCCCGATCTCTCTCCCTAGCCAATCAAACTAGTCGATTTTCTAGGGATTGGTTGAGAAGGCTCCGATCTACACTTCCACCAAGAGAAATTTGATCCCCCACTAATCTCTTGCGGATCTTGTTACTCTTGGGTGTTTGAGCACCCTAGATGGTTGAGGCCACCGCGGAGCCATATTCCATTGTGGTGAAACTTCATGGTGTCGTTGGGAGCCTCCAATTAAGTTGTGGAGATTGCCCCAACCTTGTTTGTAAAGGTCCGCTCGCCGCCTCCAAGGGCACCAATAGTGGAATCACGGCATCTCACATTGTGTGAGGGCGTGAGGAGAATACGGTGGCCCTAGTGGCTTCTCGGGGAGCATTGTGGCTCCACATCGCTCCAACGGAGACGTACTTCCTCTCAAAGGGAAGGAACTTCGGTAACACATCCTCGTCTCCATCGGCTCCACTCTTGGTTATCTCGTACCTTTACTTGTGCAAGCTTACTTTGTGTTGCATCCCTTGCTTGCTTGTGTGCTTGTTGTTGTTGCATCATATAGGTTGCTCACCTAGTTGCATATCTAGACAATCTACTTTGATGCAAAGTTTAAATTGTTAAAGAAAAGCTAAAAATTGTTAGTTGCCTATTCACCCCGGCATCTCTAGTTGAAAGTGAAACTATCCCTAGGTGGTTTTGGTAATTCATAACAACATATAGCTCATTGAGCTAATGCTATTCCAAGATGACTATTTCAGGAAAGCTCAATGATTGGCATGGCATGGATGTGAAAGTGGAACCCTCAAAATGCTAAGGACAAAGGATTGGCTCAAGCTCAAAAGCTCAAGACTCTTCATTTTATATTTTTCTGATCCAAGATCACATTGAGTCTTTAGGAAAAGCCAATACTATCAAGGAGGGATGAGGTGTTGCTTAATGAGCCTCTTGCTTCATGTGCTTAGTGATATGCTCCAAAACCCTCAACTACTTTCCCATATCCACATATGACCTAAACCCTAAGCCAAACTCGGTCATACCGATTCTTTCTATCCGGTGCCACCGAGTTTCACTTGTCATAAGCCACTGTCAAACCCTAGCAATTCGGTTCTACCGATAGGGATCTCGGTCTCACCGAGATGGGATTGCAAACTCTCTGTTTCCCTTTCGTAACTTTTCGGTCTCACCGAAAGAGCGAATCGGTCCCACCGAGATTGCAATGTAAACTCTTTGTTTCCCTTTTGTAACTTTTCGGTCTCACCGAAAGAGCAAATCGGTCCCACCGAGTTTGCCTGACCAACTCTCTGGTTAGCTTATTACCAAACTCGGTCTCACCGAGTTTGTGTAATCGGTCTCACTGAGATTACGTTATGCCCAAACCCTAACCATATCGGTCCTACCGAGTCGCATGTCAGTCCCATCGAAAATCTCTAACGGTCACTAGGTTTACCTTTTCGATCCGACCGAGTTTGTTGATTCGGTCCCACCGAGATTGGAAAACTGTGTGTAACGGTTGGATTTTGTGTGGAGGCTATATATACCCCTCCACCTCCTCTTCATTCGTGGAGAGAGCCATCAGAACACATACACAATTCCAACTCATATGTTCTGAGAGAGAACTACCTACTCATGTGTTGAGGCCAAGATATTCCATTCCTACCATATGAA